CCCCCACCCCCTCCCCGCTCTGCTCTCTGAAGAACACAAGAATAGCAACAAAACTAAAAAGATACATTGGCGTGCATGTGCACTAACTCCACACCCCCCACACACTTTTTGCTTGCATAGAATGCTGAACCACACCCAACTGGACCCGAGTCGAGGGCCCTGACCAAACTATTCTATTTTCCCAACAGTGGTTCTACCTTAACATTTACTAGGTCCAGATGCCGACGAATAGATGACTTTGGTCCTCTCATAGGAAATAACAATGTCAACTTCACACTTGTTTTATGATGGAAAATCTTTGTCACCATAGTTTTTACATGAAAGATATATTTGCCACTTCCCAAATGTCAAGTCTAATAGAAAGGGGATATAAATGATATATTTCTTTGTAGCCTTCCACCCTTTAAGGTTATGACATGATATGACATATATATTTGTCATGATAAAGTAAGCACTTTTACTGATGGTCTTGAAATTTTTAATGTTTTCAAGTACTGTACCTAGTCTGAGTTTACTCTGAAGTGTACATATTTTTATAGCATGTATCATGTCAGGCCTCATTAACAGTCAATCAAATTGTTACCAGCAGCATTGAATATTAAATATTTCACTATAACTGTAATTAAATATTTATGCATTAAATAGTTCTCTACAAGGAAAGACTTATCTGATCTTTATATTTTTAAGTAAAGATAAAAGTAAAATTTCAAAATAACAAAAAGAATGAGGCATTTATGGATAGAAATGGAAATTGATTTTCCATTAACCATTCTACAAGGTAAATATCATTATCCTCCTTACACAACTGAATTCACACAAAGGTGTGAAAAATTATTGAAATGTAGAGAATCTATCTTCTTCAGCTGCAGCCTGCGAGCTCTATTTCACATCAGCAGAAAGTCCCTCTCCCCCATTCTTTTCCCTTAGGAATGTCCAACTGATAGCTATTTTGTATGGATAAGGCATCACTAGGATGCTTAGAAGATTATTAGAAAGGCAATTTTGGTTTAACAGACTGGTCTGAGGATCATATATTTCTATTATGTATATAAGTAATTATATATATATATATATAAAATGGATATTATTTTTATATAAATGACATAGAACGCAGATAAATTATCCTGTGGTTCAAAATAAAAATCACCCCCTCCCCGCTCTGCTCTCTGAAGAACACAAGAATAGCAACAAAACTAAAAAGATACATTGGCGTGCATGCACACTAACTCCACACCCCCCACACACAATTTGCTTACAAAGAATGCACCACAACACCCCCAACTGGACGGGCAAGTGAGGGGGTCTGATTAAATTATTCTATTTTCCTAACACATGCCTATGTAATGAAGCCTCCATAAAAACTCAAAAGTACTGGGTTCAGAGAACTTTTGGATAGTTGAACACATGGAAGTTCCTAGAGGATGGAGCACCAGGTGAGGGCTTGAAAGTTCTATGCTCTTTCCTCCATACCTCACTCTATGCATCTCTTCATCTCTACCCTTTGTAATATCTTTTATAATGGACCAGTAAAAGTTAAGTGTTTCCCTGAGTTTTGTGAGCTGCTTTAGCAAATTAATTGAACCTGAGTTGGGGGCTGTGGGAAACCAGATTGATAGCAGGTTGATAGAAGCACAGGAAAATAACCTGGGACTTGTGATCAGCAAAGGAATTGGGGCTCAGTCTTGGGTACTGGGTTCTCAACCTGTGGGATCTGATGCTAACTCCAGGTAGATAGTGTCAGAATTGAATTGAATTAGAGGACACCCAGCTGGTATCTGCTGCAGAATCATTTGCTTGCTGTTGGGGAGAAACCCCCTCACATTTGGTTACTGCTTTTGCAGTGTAAAAGTCTTCTGTGTTGATTGTGATGTGAGAGCTGAGGAAAAACTCTATTCTTTTTCTTTCTTTCTTTCTTTTTTGACTGCTTTCTTTCTTTTTTACAAAAGTTTATTCTTAAATGTATAACAGACTCCATGACAACAGTTCATTCTAGCTGTAGGTGGCAAAAGTTGTTACGGCAGGGAATCTAGATGTTCAAACAGGGTCACCATTGCCTCAGGCACAAGGAACAGCTTACTTTTTGCCAGATATCTTAATTCCATCTGTGGCCAGGGGGCCCTTCCCCATGGCCTTCGCTTTCAGTTCTTCTGGTTTGTTCTGTTCCTCTTTTCCTTTCTGCTTGAAAGCCTTCTCTTCCTCGTCCATCTCCTTGGCCTGATTCTTGGGCTGTTTCAGGGTCTTCTTCTTGCCACCTTCATGGCTGGACAAAGCACCTGCCAAAAAACTGTTTTTCCCACAGTGAAAAAACTGAGATTAAAAAGAAACTAATCCATAAGTAGGTGATGATTTGAGAATTTAAACCAATGTCACTCCAG